AATTTTAAGTCTGAGCATGAGATACTACTTACTGTTAGGCATTCAAAAACTATTCAGTTTGGTCAGAAAGTTCTTCAAATTCCACTTTGTGGATTGGCTGATTGTCAGGTTAATTTAGATCCTGTGGCTGCTATCAAGAATATGTTAAGCAGGATACCTGGTGGGAGTGGACAGTGTCCATTGTTCTCCTTTGTAGGGGAAAATGATAGAATCACAAGTTTAACATATAATTTGTTTGTAGGGCGCTTGAAAGAGTGCCTTGATAAGGTTGGTATAGACAGCAAATTGTACAGTGGCCATTCGTTTCGTAGAGGAGGTTGCTCATTTGCCTTCTCCCTTGGGATTCCAGTTGCATTGATCAAACTGAGAGGAGACTGGGCATCCAACTGCTATGAACGTTATGTCACAATACAGGAAGAGATGAATGTGAAGGTTTCTAAAGCTCTCTTGTTAGGAGCTTCAATTGTAGAGTAATGTTTGGGGATATCAATTGGCGAAATGTATGATACTTTGTACATGTATCTTTACTTTGATCACATTTAAAATAAATGTTTGAGATTATCCCCCAACATTGTGTTTGTAGATATATTTGGATTAACAAGTAATTCCATCTGTTTAATATAAAAATAAGACTGCAAGTTTTATTTGATTTTAAATAGGATATTTGTTATTGTTCATTGATGTAAGGGGCATGCTGTCTGCTGATTTGTTAATGTTTAAGCCATGTGTACAGCAGCCATAGTTTTTAAGTTTAGCAGAAATTGCTCCCACCCGCCCACTCCTATGTGATGTATAATACAAGATTGTATAAGGGTGGCGAAATGTATGATACTTTGTACATGTATCTTTACTTTGATCACATTTAAAATAAATGTTTGAGATTATCCCCCAACATTGTGTTTGTAGATATATTTGGATTAACAAGTAATTCCATCTGTTTAAAGTCCAGGTTATGCCATTCGTGAATGTGAAATTGTTCACAACCAAATATCACTTTGGATTCTAATCTATTGAGTGTGCATGGGCTATCATCAATAACTTCTGTGCTGATGATCACCGTCATGACCTGAATCACACTCAAATTTAAAATTACCTTCATGTTATCATAAAGTGACATCTGAAATATAGAAAAAACTATCTTAAATTAACATAAACATAAAGTTGGCATGCATCATGACTCGAATGAGGATGATGACAATGGACCAAGTTTTTAAAGCTACATCAGTCAAGGCTTTTGATTTCCTTGATCTTTTCCTACTTAATTTTCACTAAATTTCAATTTTTTAAACTTTGCAATTATTAATTTTCGTGGATTTGTAATTTCTCAAAATTTTTTCAGCTTATTTTTCTAATTTCTTTTATTGAATAAATGAAACTAATTCCGTGGAATTTTGTATTTCACGAATTAGAATTATTGGAATTCTGTGGCTATTATATTTTGTGAATTTTCCACAACTCGTTAAAGCGCAAAATATAATACCATGCAAAAATTACCAGGAGTACAGTATTCATAACCCTTGCTTTTCTAAAAAAATTATAGTGGTTTGTAATTCTTATGACTAACAATTGTTGTCATCATTGACTTGAATCAATATCAGAGGACGAGGTCTTAGATTTTGTCAATTATAAAAAGACTGCAAACTAGACTCTTGATTTGAACTATGTTCAATATCAATTTCACTCATCTTTGATCTCGTAGGAGTTGTTAAACAAACATGTTAATAGCTATTTAAGTGCAATTATACTGTAGATACACTTATTTTGATGCTACTCAATTTGACGGATTTGCTCAATTCTAAATATTGGTGGCTCTTTAATTTTTGTAGATGTTTATGTCATTAGGACAGGTTTTTACAAAAATATTTTCTGTATTTCTTTTGGAATAATGTAGAATTGATGACATATTGTCAGGAAAAGGGGCCCATGGAGTTTAATTTCTGAAGTGCATTGGACAAAAATTCCAAACTGAAATTTGATGGATTCTTATTTGGCGGATTTTCTGAATCCGCCAATCTGTCATATTAAAACGGGAGCCAAATTAAGTGTATCTACAGTAGCTAGATTCTTACAAGAGTATTTAAGATATTGTAAGTAAAAGTTCACCCTATTATATCCAGATGAGTTTTATATTTGTTATGCAGTTTCATAAATTTTATTCATCATCTCTTATTCATTAAGCCACACTGATTATTTTTTTTATCTTACATAGATATTATATACACCATGTGAACTTGAGAAGATTTATCTATATAATTTATTTCATACTGGCGGCAGTTGTGCTGGTGCTTGTACACTGGTTAAAATTTAAGTATAACTATTCATTGGTGAATGTAAGTGCTTGTTCTTGAACTCTTTTATGTGCATTTTACACTTCTTGGGTGTTTGAAGATGTGCACACTGCACAGCAAAAAATTAACTTCTTATATGGAGGACTTTGGTACAACAGCAACAATAAAAATAAAAATGTAAAAGCATTATGAAACAATATTGATTAATTTGTGTGTCTGTATATTAAAATCCTCAACCCTCCCAAAATAATCCATATTTATGAATATTTGTAAAAAACATAGTGAACAATTTTTTCTTGGTTGCAAATATGGTGTCTGATTTTAAGTATACTATAATCCAGTTTGTCTACAATGGAAAAAATTAACTTTAAACAACGGTTGCTATGGTAAAACAAGCTAGTGGTTACCATGGCAATGACAAATCAGTAATATCAAAGTTATTTAATGCCAAAAGTATGGATGTATTATAATTATGCAATTTTTGATGGCTGCTCCTTACCATCTATGGTTTCTGAACTTTCTTAAATTTATCGAATTGAGCAATTTGAATGGTTTGTAATGTTCAAACTTCAAACCAACAAGGTAACCAATGACATGTTGTATCTCTTCATGATACTGTATTAGAACATTTATATTAAAGGTTACCTGCTGAGTCCAAATATAGTGTTAGAATTTTATCATAGCATTATCCAGGGTGTCTAGAAGAGATCAAATCACGTTGGATAACTCTTGCTATGGTTAACCCAACACCTGGTTTCCATAGTAACAAAAATAGATATGTCATACAGTAATCACATGAAGTTGACTCGTGAAATTTGAGATTTTGGCAGTGTTCGATGACATCTGAAAGACATATTTTGTTAAATTTTTCGGTTTAAAGTTCATAAATTGTTGTCATTTCCTAGGTTTAAATTTTCTTAGTAACCATCAATATGCTGTAAAAAGTTAGTATCTTAAAAAAATGTTTCCATATTTTAATATACAATAGGTAAGTTTGATTAACTAATTCCAAATATGGTGTCAGATTGTTATATTTCTGTAACCTTGTAGTTGCGGCTATACAATGAACAAAATCACCTTTATTCATCGTTGCTATGGCAACACAGTGGACATACATGTAGTTGCCATAGCATCAATCAAGCAGAAATATGAAAAGGTCATCACACATCATCAGAAAAAGAATTGATTAAGACCGAACAGTGTTTGATGGTTCTTCTCAACATCCATTATTTTTTCTCTAAAGTCATTAATGTATTGAAAGAGATCCTTATTTCCTACATACCAACCTGCATAGTAAACTTTAACATGTAATATAATTTTGTAAAATCGAAATATGTTTATTACATCTCAGGAATAGATAAAAAATGACATGCTGAGTCCAAAAATGGTGTCAGATTTTAGAAAGGACATAATTAAGGAGGTCTTCAGTTGACAAAGGCAACTAAATCAGTCGTTGCTATGGCAACCAAGTGGACATAGTTACCATAGAAATGGCCAAATAAAAATATTAGAATGTTATCAAACGTCATTGGTCTAAAAAGTGAATAAAATTGGACAATGTATGATACTGTTGCTCAACTTCTATTTATCAATTAATTAATTTAGTTTTTGTTTTCTAAAAATCACTTTTGATATTTTTATACGATACCTTAAAAACCTGTATAATAAGAAATAACATGCTGTATCTTTTCCTCAAATGTGAATATTTTTATGAAAACTTCAATACAAGGTATAAATGACCTGCTGAGTCCAAAAACAGTGTCAGATTTTAAAGATAACATAATCCGAGAGGTCTTCAGTTGACCAAACCAACTGAAACTGCTGTTGCTATGGCAACAAGGTGGACATAGTTACCATAGCAACAACCATAAAGAAATGTTTGGAGGTCATCATACATCGTTGTTATGTAAAGTGTTGAAGATTTGACAATATTTGATACTGTTGCACAACATTTATTTATCTATTTAATTTCTTTTAATTTTCAAAAAACTGCTAAATTTGAGTTTTTTATATGGGTCCTTACAGACCTGCATAGTAAGAAATAAACTGTTGTATCTTTATATAAAATTTGAATTTTTTCATGAAAATTTCAATTTTAGGTAATTTTGACCTGCTGAGTCCAAATATGGTGTCAGATTTAAGTAATATGGTAATCTTGGGCGTCTACAGTAGACTTAACCAGCTGAAGTTACCGTTGCTATGGCAACAAGAGAGACATAGTTACCATAGCAACAACAAATAAAATTTGTCACAAATCTTTCGTACATCATAAGTATGAAATTTGACCAAGATCCGGTCATGTTTGATAATTTTGGTAAGCCCCTAAAAAAACCTGAATAACTAATCACAGACCTATAGTATTCTACTTCTAGAGGTGTTTCACTTTACATGTTTCGCTGTATTTACAACTGGAGGCCCGCTTAGGTCTATTCTCTGTCAGGGCATATTCCCATTCCTTTGTTCATAAGTATTGTCGGATAATTTAAAGGATAAAGAGAAAATGGCACAAGTAAATGTCTCCTTAAAGCTCACATAACCCCATGTGGTACTATTGCCCAAATATCAACATATTTAAAATCACAAAGTTCTGCACAGTTGTCAGGAGATGGGAAAAGACTTAGAGGAAGTAGAAGTGAAAGGATTTGTCAAAGTGATATTTTGTGTTGTGTACTTCGGATAGAAAACTAGATAATTCCAAAAATATTCTTTCAGAAACTTGTAGAAGATACAGACCAACTTCTAGAGACTATAGATGGCGTTACCTCAGTTCACGGAAGATTTTACGAACTTTCCAGCAATTACCACAAGTTAATGGGGAACCATGCTGAGTATTATAAAGATGCTCTGCGTTTTCTAGGATGTATTGATCTCAAGGAAATTCCAGGTGAGAAACAGGCCCATAGCTAGGATTTGCCAAGGGGGTTCAACTTTTGAAAAATTCAAGGGGGGTTCACTTTTGACAACTTTGGCCCAAAAATGGTCAAATTCATTTGAAAAGTACTCAGAATGGTGAAAAACTGCTTGATTTTGAAAGAATTTTAGACCAGGTTTGCTCGAACCCACCGAACCCTACAGGCCTAAGAAACCTACCATGTAAATATGTGTCATTTGTGTAAATCTGCGGGGTGGCCAATACATCACTTTTAAATCTACAATGTGACCAGATAAACAAAATTCAAATCCAAGATCTGTCTTTATTATATCCCATTACTGTTACTTTGTACTGTTATATGGATAAGCCAGACTCTCTCATTACTGTTCTCCAATTAATGAGTATAATGTGTTTTATTCCAGTTTCAGACCAGTTAGAGAGGGCATTTAATCTTGCCCTGGCTGCCCTACTGGGGGAGGGGGTGTACAACTTTGGAGAGCTGGTAAGTAGAGGTAGAGGTTAGGTTGGGGAGAGGGTGTACAACTTTGGAGAGCTGGTAAGTAGAGGTAGAGGTTAGGTAGGGGAGGGGGTGTAGAACTTTGGGGAGCTGGTAAGTAGAGGTAGAGGTTAGGTTGGGGAGGGGGTGTACAACTTTGGAGAGCTGGTAAGTAGAGGTAGTGGTTAGGTAGGGGAGGGGGTGTACAACTTTGGAGAGCTGGTAAGTAGAGGTAGAGGTTAGGTTGGGGAGGGGGTGTACAACTTTGGAGAGCTGGTAAGTAGAGGTAGAGGTTAGGTAGGGGAGGGGGTGTAGAACTTTGGGGAGCTGGTAAGTAGAGGTTAGGTAGGGGAGGGGGTGTACAACTTTGGAGAGCTGGTAAGTAGAGGTAGAGGTTAGATTTCTATATGAGAAGTAGTAGAAATTGAGAAATACAAAGGAATCACCTTTACACATACTAATTCTATCACAAAAGTGTATTCATGTTACCATAGTGATCAATGAGATACATAAAGAAAAGATCCTCCATTATCAGAGATCACGATAGTTGAAAAAACTTGTTAGCCATTGTGGCTAAATCTTCCAAAATTTTTTTAGCCAACCAAAATATGAATTAGCCATTTTGAAAAACCATAAAAAGGGAATTCGCAATAGAGGTGTCACGGTCCAAGAAAATTTCGGTACGGTACGGAACGGTACAAATGGTCTCGACACATTACATTCGGGACGGGACGGGCAGAACATGAAAAATGATGCAATGCCTGATGATGACAGTTTCACTTTCAGTTTCACTTTTCAAAATCATATTCAGAAATAAAAAAAACGTCAATTAAAATTGAATGTAAAGCATCTGCCGCGAATGTGATCGGCATTTCACATAGTCTGCACGGTGAAATATCACCAATTCGTTTACCTTGTGATATCGGAGTCCCAAAATACTTCCAAACTGCGGACTTTTTCAACTTAGATGCCGGCTCGATTTTCCAATTTCTTTCCTACATCCGGCATTCTGATAATGCACTCAATTTGCGAACGACGATGAAGAAATTTACGAACAAGCATTACCATCTACCTGAAATCGCGGGTCCGTTGATAACACTTTTCATGCAAAGAAGTGTAATCTAGGTACGAGGTAAGTGAAAATATTTAATTTTTCAGAACGAAATCGGAGGTGTTCCTCGCTATTTATACAGGTTTTTATGCATTTTAGGGAAGGAATCTATGACCCGATATTAACCCTTTCTGTCCAATGTCCCGAACCGAAGCATCTGGACCGAAATTCGTTCAATATCGGGAAACCGTGACACCTCTAATTCGCCATAACTGCGAAATACCTTTATATATTTTTCGCCACCTCTTTCGAAAATTCGCAATTGGCGAATGGCGAACGTCTACCGTGATCTCTGCCATTATATGTCTTAAGAAGTAAATGTGAGTAGCTCTTGAATAATATTCTGTGTAAAACCTTTAGAAAAAAATGTACTCTATTATGTTCCGTTTCAGTTGGCTCACCCTATACTAGACACACTGAGGAATACAGAAAAACAATGGCTTGTGGACACTCTGTATGCTTTCAATAGTGGAGATCTGGCCAAATTCCAAGCATTAAAGCCACAATGGCAGACACAACCAGATCTTGCAGCTCAGGAGATTCCTCTCAGACAGAAAATCTCTTTACTGTGTCTAATGGAGGTAAAATGACCAAGAATCATGTATTACATGCAACTTTTAAATAATATGCTGATATTGTTTGTTAATTATGCCCAGTACATCCCCAGTAAAGACAGGGTTTGGACATATCTTCAAAAATGCAAAAATACATACCTGCACAAAGCTATAATAATGTAGTCTGTATCTTTATCTGACGCTTCTTAGATAGTAGAGACTCAATCAAACCCACAATGGTTTGAATTGAAGTCTAAAGGCGAAATTGAATACTTTCAAGTGAATCTTTTTCTGAAAGAGACTTGATAGCATCAATCCTTGAATGCCTTAAAATGGTACATGATGAACTTTGAATTGATCTTACAGATGACCTTTAAAAGACCAGCCAATAACAGACAACTATCCTTTGAAGAAATCTCAGCAGAAACCAAGCTGCCATTAGGCGAAGTTGAACTCCTGGTCATGAAGGCACTGTCGCTTCAATTAGTGAAGGGTAGAATTGACCAAGTTGACCAGAAGGTGCAGATGACCTGGGTACAACCAAGGGTACTAGATCTACAACAGGTAGGGCCTCTTTGCTATGTATCACTTTAAACTCTTCATGGTAATGTGATTTTGAAGGACAGGTATCTAAAAGAAATGCCAGAAAATAAAACATTTGGATCAATTAAAAATTAAATAATTCAATTTAAAAAGTCTTTTCATGTCTCTATTCTTTAAAAATTAGGAAAGAAAATAAGAAAAAGTTCACTTCAAAAACAATTACTCACTTTCTCCTATTTCAACACTACACTTTAATTGTCTTACTTCATATATTATATTTACACTTTGAAACATATAAGTTAGTTGGAATTAGTTCGCTATAGTGGCTTAAACAGACTTGAGCGAGTCACGATACTTAACACTGGATTCGACACAATTATTCAAGGTTCTCACTACATCATATCAATAATGTGACTCTTACGACCATATACTGCATGCACCACTATTGATAATCCAGAACCATTTAATGAAGCTTTCGTGGATATTTTGGGGAGTTTGTCAGCTACTTAAAAGCAGAATATGTATGTTCTGATTTTCTGACTTCACATTCTAATTGGATAAAAGGACATCAAAGAAATGTGTCTCATATAAAGAGTGTAAATTGTAAAAAGTTTAACTGATATACGTATATAATAATAAATATTATGAGAAAAGAGTCAAGTTCTCGGGAATTGTACAAAGTGTTAATCTACGTATTTGTTTATTTATTTCCAGATCGCCACCATGCAGATGCGATTGAATCAGTGGATCACAGATGTCAAATCAATGGAAATGTTATTGGAGAGTAAAGCACAGGACATTCTAACGCTATAGGAGTAACATCACCAGGACTAAAATTACTTATATTGATTAGTAAAAGAACTAGAACCCCTGGTGATTAGAAGAATTTCTGAGAATTATAATTTCACAGATTAAGAGTACATGTACCTGGGATTAAGATCTCCAGAGATTGAAACAAGATGCAATCTATGTTATCATTAACTAATATTACCAGAATAAGAATGTTAAAAATAATCAGGGGCTGTGATGATGGATTAAAATTCCTTTAATATCTGAGTGCAGGGAGTAGCCATCCTTTGAAAGGACTGCAGTCTCTTGTATAAATGACATTTGGTTATTTATAAGTGAAAAAAAAGATATTTAAATAGTAAATAGGATTTGGAGTTTAGACCCAGAAAACAAGGACCAAAATTTCTGCATGGAAAACTTCATATGATCAGCATTCCCAAAGAAAAGAACAGACAATTAACCTATGAATAGAGATTAAGTCTGATATCTTATATGATTGCCCTATATTCTTGTGTCTTTACTTCTGCTCCCAAAGGGTTATATGTGAGGAAGATGTGAGGGGGAGAGAGTGGATACAGGAACCCCATGCAATGGATGTTTTAAAATTCAAAAGATGACAAATTGAAATATGTGGAAAATGTTTGATAGTTTCAGTTGTGAACTATCCAATACTTTTGATAGAAATAAATTGTATATAATATGTCAACTGGAGTCTTTGTTTGTTGAAATGACTATCATAACGATGATTCTGCAACCTAAACCACTTAGACACGAGGGAGAATTGAATTTAAGAAATGTGTCGCTATACTTGTGATTCAAAATATTGATTCATTCTTTGACTTAATTCTTTTGAGCTTTGACATAATACTGTTCAATTTGCACCCTTGGTATACGCAGCTAACGAAAATTGACCGGTACGGGTCAAAAGCTGGACCGGTACGGGTTAACGGTTTTATTTGAATTTAAAACAGCCATAACTTGTTCAATATTGACTTCCTCGTGTCTAATTTGAAATATATGATGCCTCCCGATGCTTTTAAGTACCCCAATTTTTTACAGATTTTTAAATGGACCAAAACTCTCTAAATGCGCATTTATGCTCTTCTCTCGAGAACGACTGTCAACTTCTAACATATAAGATCTATTTTTCCCCATCAAGGTATGATGTAAATGACATGCTATTTACATCTTGTGAGTTTCAATGACGCACGTTTGATTTTATAAAAAATGCCAAACTTTGTGACAAAGAATTTCATCCTGCTTGAAGCGAGAAGACGGACCGGTTCGGGGCAATCTGCTTGCAGCGAGAAGACGGACCGGTTCGGGGCAATAGCTGATGAAATTCATAGGCTTTCAGCTTTTGCTCCAAATATTGCCCCACGACGTCCTCCACTTTCAAATTGCCCATAATGCAAGACAAACATCACAAGCCATGTCTTAATAATTTCTAAACCTTTAACATCTTTATAAATTACAAGCATTTACCTCGAAAGACATTAAAAAAATCATTAAAGAAAATATGACTATTAACTCTCCATTGATATAGTAAAAACTTATTAATTCCAATGTAGATGAGAAATAGGCCAATGACTTATAGCAGTGGATACTACACCGTTACTCATAAATATGGAATTACTATTGATTTCCTATTTTTCAATGCCATCTCATATAATGAATGGAAATTTTTCAATTATTCATAGACCAGAAGCTGGCCAGGAAAAATAAATTAAACGCATTTGTAATGAACAACATTTTTCATTTCTCTGGAATTTATGTCAGAATCCATTGAGATCTTGGAGAATATTCTGAAAAGGGCATATTCCTCCAACTAATAAAGGTTACCTGCAACAGCTTTTTTAACAGGACATTTTAGAACAATTCTTGCATTATGCAATGCATACTTTTATAAAAGTAAAATTTTGGAATTTTTATAGTAAAGACAATATACTGATTTTTGCGAAATGCCCAATATTCCATATATTTAACCAACAGTGTATATCAAAGACAGGTGAAACCCATCTTACCTCCATTAACTTATGGTACGCTATGGTTGCTCAATATAACTGTCAACTACCTACAAGACTGTCCCTTGATGAATATGAGTTGATGCCATCGTAACTTTTTCAATTAGGTTTTTGAGGATGATTATTTGCATGATGTGTTACTGAAGTCTGGGGAACAAGAAACCCAATGTGTCTATTGACTCTATTCATAGCAAACAAAAACAAACATTAACACCAGCGCCTTATTAACATTGGGCTCTCCAAACGTAGGAAATTACATCTCTGTGTAATGTAATGTAAAAAGATGAAGAATACAAGTAGAGTGGTCAAAGCATAAAAACTTTTAAATACAATGTGAGAGCAAGGATTAACATTCTAAAGTCCTACAAGATCATCATAGAGATTAAATGTCAATAAAAAATCATTTTGTTTTTATAGCAGGTTGAGCTTAATAACCTGATGTAAAAGAGGTCTGATGTAAAGATTTTAACAATCTGTGATGTTTACTCTTTTGGCACTTACACATACTGTACATATTTATTGATTGATATATTCTAGCAAAGGTAAGCTGACATCATACATGTAGGCTGACATCATACATGTAGGCTTGTATTTTGACATCATGGTCCAAAAGTCATCAAGATAAAGACACCTTAAATCTTAGGTCATCAATGGATAAACTGAACAAGAGTAATGTATACATGTATGAACATTTTATTAATAAAATCTGACATGAATCACAATAACATTGGATACATAAAAGAGAGAGAACTTACACAAGTTAAAGTTACATAGAGAACATAAAATATGACATGGAATATAACTGAATAACACCCATATGAATATAAACCTTGACCATTTAAACCCTTTAAGGGAGTGGCGATTAGTTCTGTGCATATGGTAACACCTTAAAGCCAGAGATGTTTCCTTTCAAAATATTGTTTCATTTCATAAAAATCTAGCCTTGCCCAAAGTCAGTCTCTTTTACTTATCTTGATTTCTAATAATATTGAAGATCAGATAAGTAAAAAATACCAACTTGGGGCAAGGCTAGTTAAAATCTTAAGATAAAGAAAATTCATAATAAAATGAATAATGCATATAAAAAGAAAGTAAAAGCACATGTTATCACCTTTACAATGACTCAAGTGACTTTCACATTGTCAAATATCATTTATTTAGAGTTTAAGTGAGGATGATATCATACAGGGTGTTAAACAATTTGGTATGGTGAAACAAGTTTGTCAAATGCGACATATAAAAACCTATTTAATCAAAACATTGGACGAATGGACGTTGTTCACATTTTGTCAGTGAATTGTGAACTCTGAAGCTATTATTTTAAAATACTATGGTACATATTGTACAGGACAAAATTATTTGACAAAATTGTTTGACACCATGTATACTTTATGAAAATAAATAGTTTGAAAACTTGCTCTATTTGATAATAATAATAAATATGAACTGGTACAATAGATTTATGTTACAATGAAATGTTACAATCAAAGTACAGCAGCTAAATCTATCTAATCTTTTCTTAAACCCGTAAAATAAAAAGCATTTTATATGCAGACTTCTATCCCAAATCAAATGCAAATCTAGATTTAATTGAACTTAAAATGGTGATATATTTTACTAAACTATTTGGAATCCATCTCACAAAAGTATTGCATCAAAATTAAGAAATAAATATTCGAATGTACAGAGTGTGCATATGTGGCAGCTAAATGGTAAATTTTACTGAAATACTTTTACGAAACTGATCCCATTGTGATAAACTACAGTGTTCTACGTGTGACCACTAACTACATTGAGTTTACAATTTTTATATCACAGAATTCACCGACTCACAAAAGAAAAAATACTAGAACTGATAAAAATCAGAATACAATCTTTATGTCATATTAATTGTGCATTTTTTCTTTTTGAATTGGGACATTCATAACTTTCTCATAATTTTGACTTTCTCTATCCTCTGCTTAAATTTCGAGTAATTTTTCAAGTCATACTGTAGATACATAATTGGAAATTCGTATCATTTTATCTGTGTGACAGAGACACTTCTTACACACACACTCTTCTTACAGAACACATTCCAAATTATACAACACATTCCAAAAAAAATAAAGTTACTTAAAACTTCATCTTTGGAACGTCAGCAAAATATTATTGTGTCATATAAAATGGAATGAGTGATGAAAATTTCTCCAAAAATTTGATAGCTAGAGAACCGTACTGCAAATGACATTATTTAAATTATTGAATATACAATATACATATATAGGATACATACAAATACTATATTGCACAGATAGTTTCATGTTATCCTTCTAAAACTGTGCTATTGATACTATGATACATGTGTACTCCAAATTCTACATCTTTAAATGATAGCTATAGTAAATATAAGTATTCATGATTTTATAATAAATAGATTACAATAGTTAATATACAAATATGCAGACAACATGGTACACAAGACACAATTGTGCCACGAATATCAAACTTCATGATTTTCAAACTGTTGGGAATAATCTCAAAATATTCTTGATTGTTTGAATAAAGAAAACCAATTTCATTTCATCCTGATTTAATATCTTTTTAAAAATCAACCATATTTTGAGATTAAGCCCCTAACGAATTAAATATTATTGAGGTATATTTTCATGATTTCATATTAAACTTTTATTATGTTACCCTTAATCAATTTTATTCATTGTACTTGACCCTTCTAAAACATTTCAGAAAATCAAGACTGAATTTTTTCTCAAAATAAGAGCACATATCTTCACCTGAATTAATATTCAGTCAATATAGACACATCATTATTATATTGGATGGAACAGATATTTCACTTTAAAGCCACTTATTTCATTTATCTTAACTGCAATTGCCTGAAACTCTGACACACTTTAAATAATAATATAAACAACTGTATTGTCCTAATTTAATTCTAATTATGTCTATTCAACACCTATTTATAATTTATTATCGGTTATTCGCTAGTATTCACTGACATTATATAAAAGTATAAAAATGAGATATTTTATTTTCCTTATTACAACCTGACTTTGCATTGTTCAATTTCATTTTCACTCAAACGACATAATCATTCTCAACATTCAGTTATTTTTAACACAAATAAAATGTTATTGAGATCTTCCATGCGGGATGGATATCACATGCTTTTAAAGCCAAGTGAAAACTGATGGACTTGTTTGTATTTTTAAAATACTTTCAAAAATTTAAGATACGACACAATTTTTGGAATACAAAATCTTCAGATTTTTATTTTCCAGTATCTATTATCATTTAATTCCAAAAATGTATTATTGTATCAACTAACACATTTTTGGATTTTTTCAAAATGAACTACCAAGAATTCCCAAATTGCATTATGTATCATTCGATTATTGCAAAATAAATAAATAGAAGCTCAGTAGCAGAAGCAATTGCATATTTACAATAAAACATAAAACAGCAGTGTTATTAACAACTAGATCTTTCACATACATTAACTCTTTCAAGCCCAGGCAAGTTATAGCCAAATGATATAAATAAATAAAATGGTTTAAGAGGTAGTGGAAACAAAGTTACTTTAGTATGAACATTAAGGGACTGTGAGTCATTGAGTTTTTTTATATTATAATAAAAATACATTAATAAAAATGGCATTGAAATCGACATGCCACAGAGTCGCAGCACCACTTCCAGTCTCGATTATCAATTGAATATTAATAACATTGATAAAAAATTGAGATTGCATCTTAACTATCTATGAGGTTCTATCCTCTCATTCGTGACAAATTAGGCTCCTGATTCATGTGTTAAAAGTTTATAAAAAACTGTGCATAAAAATTTACACAAAGGCAAGTTAAATATCATATATATGAAAAAGACTAAGTTCTGGTCTTAAATAATTGAGCCCAAATTACATTAAGAAACCTCGTTACTTTTGTTACAAATTCAAGTCAAATACTGATTCTTTGTTTTGTATGTTCAAGCATTGTATCATTTCGAAGACTTTCAAACTTTAACCCTTTCGGCATTCTTTGGAGTTTGATTCAAAAAATTTATAAAAGTATTTATCCCATACTTAAGTAATAAGCTATGCATAAGATAATAGAAGGATGTAAAATTTATATTTGATAGGGGTGATTTTAGTTTATTCCCACTCTCTCAGCCCTATGAGATAAAAATAATATTTTTTCTCCTACAAGTGATTTCTCTCTTTTGTGGTCACCAAATTTGATCATTTCCATATTAAAGTATGGGATAAATAATTATGTACATGTACATAATTATCAGTTTTTGACATTATTTTGACAGTTTTTGAGATTATCATAAAGGATATCAATAATACATCCCTCAGGATAAACCCTTGATCTAAAACCTCCAATTATATAGACCTAATGTATGCATCAAACTACATACAGTGACATTCTTTCCAAAGAGAAACACCATAACACGCATAATACTTTCACAAACTACAGCACCTTAATGTGACCAGATCGTTCATCTATACTAGGACATCACTCAACGTAAGGTGTTATGTCAATGTCTTTAATATTTCCAAAAAATGCATCATTAGAAATTTGATTCTCTTAGTACTATATCATTCAAAACTTATTTAGAGATTTTCGTATCTAGCCTAAGTATCAAGATTTTCAGCAAAATGGGTTTAACTCTTTTCCTCCCACATTATATGAGTTGAAAGAGATTTAATGTGAAATATTTAAGGCAGTTGACACTTCCCCCGACACCAAAATGCTCATTCCTTCATCCTTCAAAATGTAATTTGCATAATTGGCCTGGAATGTATATACAGCCTGTTTATTGCACAAATAAAACTATGATACCATAATACTCAATGCTATCTCAGAGAATCAACTTTAAAAATACTCGACCATAGTGCATGCCTTGCAAGGGTTAGCAATAAAAATGTTTATATAAAAAATTCCCTCCCTTTAATATGAGATCATTTTACCTCCAATCTGTCTTCCCGCCCTTTCCCCTCTGACCACTTTTTTTAAAAAATGGCACATGCTGTTTTGTATCTATAAAATGTTTAAATAATGAATAAATGTATGTTCAGCTGTGAATTTTTGAAGCTTAGTATATATTTTCTGAGCTCTCAAATCGTGTTTCTGGTCATCTGTTTCGTTATTTTTTCTCTAAAATTTGAACAACGCGCTTCAAATTTTGGAATTTCCATGCAATTTGGAGAGTTTACATCATATATCTTCAAATATTTTCTCTCCAGTTCCTATCTTTTCTATTCCATTTTCCATTTGAAAAACATGGCCATGATTTTGTATTATGAGCTCCACTAAGCCTCCATTGATATTGCGATACTGGTGAATATGGATTGATTCTCCGGTTTTATGTCGAGTGTTTGATCAGTGAATGGTGTCCCGAGATACGGTGGGTGAGGCTGGATTGTACGATCTGTTAATGCATGCGCAAAGTCTGTCGCATCACTACTATGCGAACTTTCCATTTCTGCCCCGCTGTCTCGACTCTCGAGATCTGGGGGTGGGGGAGATGGGGCTGTATATAATGGAGATCTGGGGAGTTCATCTACCTCAACACTGTTCTGTTTTCTGTTTCTACGGCAACCATTACAAGGACGTATAAATCGAGGATCTATTAATACTTCTCCACTTGGACCTTTGAATATCGTACCACAGCATACTTTTGCTCTGAAAAAAATAAAAAATCCTTTTAAAATCCGTCCCTATGAGGACAAATCATGAATATTTTCAGTATATTTTATATCTTTAAAGTAAATTGTCTTAAGCAATTAATTTTTCACACAATACAGATTGAGAAATAATCCAGATGATATTACACGACTATAAAAGAGATTTTTCATAATCAACTATTAAATAACTAAAAAGTCTGAATTAAATGAAGTGCTACGTATTCTTACTTTTTCCAGATTGCCATGTCAAGGAATGAACTGTATCGTTTATTTTTCGTTGGTGTGATTTTACGTCTCCTGCCAGACACATCGGATTCAAAGCCATCCATCGAGTCATCAGAACCCTCACTTAAACTTGGGATTGGACTACCTCTTTTGGATTGTTCTAGAACACAAATTAAATATTGATTATATGTTGATTCCCTTCGTTCTCATAATGTAAATTATTGGATCTTTTATAAGATGTACTGTAGCCTAAATAAAGGCATCCTGATCCACCATGAACCAAAGAACATTCAACATCAAAACTTATTTAAGAAATGTCTATGTAGAACAAATTACCAAACACAAGACTGTTTTTACAATACAATACATATTATTGTAAGTTGTCCTTAACATCACCCCATAACATAATAATTAAGTTCACGATTGTCTGCTATTTCTTGCTATTTAATCTGTAATATGCTTACCTGATTTTACCCCGTCATCGAGTTTCTCTGAGTTCATGATTGAGTGTCGTGTGTGCATTCGCGTGATTTTTATCTTCTTTTGGTAACGATGTTTATGCTTCTTCGGGATTTCAACTTCGGCTCGGATCTTCATCATGGATTTATTACCTGGGCCAGCCCTTGCATCTACCACCTGAAATAGTGCTATATGATATAATTCTGTCAAACAACCAAGGCACATTAGGAGCAGTCAAGATGTGTTCATGCTATATAATTATTTGTTTTGTCTATTGCCATCTAGACAATACCGTAATACATTTATTTTCAACAGTGATGTTCTTATTCATAATGCAATAATTTTAATCACATTGACTAAAAACTGAATTACAGACTATGCAGTTGTCATGGTGTTGTTTTATGTATTTTTCTTATTTGGGGTTTCACTTTTAGATCATGGGTTCCATTTGAGCTATTCTCAATTTCAAAGTACAAAAAATGTCAATGAGGACTGCTTTAAAATATAAAGCCACTCTGGTGCAAGCCAAGTACAATATTGATTAATAACAACCTACAGCATGACTACAGAATTGTACCTGGCAATTATGTGATTGTACTCACTGCTCCTTGAGCCTAAGGCCATGCCAGGCAGGTATTATATTACAAAAAATAGGAATGCTCCACTTTTACTATTTACTTAAATTCAATGTAATAAAGCAAAAGAAAGAAGAAGTCTTGGCGACTTTCATAAAGAAATACAAATGTCCTTGAAAAATACAATATCATATGAAAAAAATCAACATTTTGCTATCTTACAATTAGATCTGATATTAATCTATTATAAAATGAATAATTTATAGGATAATGGGGTTTGGGGAATAAAAGGGAAACATGGGGTATAGTAATAGTAACATTTATGAACCAAACATCTAGATTTATTCATTCAACAAACAATGAAAAACATTGATTTTTATGAAATATGACTGTGACGAATGGTGACCTTAGAGTAATACAAAAAACATTCAGGATGATGTCTAAATGTTGACATGACATCTAAATGTTGATATGACGTCTAAATGTTGACAGATGTGTGAAAACAAAATTGTAATGAATGATAAGGTTGATTTAACTTCAGATCACATCAAGATTTTCACCGACATGTTCTCTCTCTTCTTTGACAAGAGAAGTAAACTTTGTTCTTTCACAACTGTAAAAAATTGTGCACCACCACTTTACATTGGACATTTTTACAAAAATTGAGTTCAAGACACCCTTTATGAGTATATATGATTGATCCCATTCTCACAACATATCAAAAATAATCTACTTACATGTTGCCAATCTCTCTTTGAACCCAATGGCAGTTTTTTCCATCTTTTGACTAGTAGAACACACGCATTACAAATCTCTCCTTGTCTATTCTCGACTCTAAAACATTTTGGGAAGTCCCACTCATATCTCTTGCTGTCAGTAAATCTGGAACTTGATGATTTTGCCCGACATATACAGCAACCCTGGCTGCTTCGGTAAGTTTTCGGTTTGTGGAAATTAAACATCTTGTTACATTGTCAGTCTATAATCTCTGAGTGTTATTGTATTCCTGAAAGTAAAATATATGTTTTTTAGTAAAGGAAGTGTGTAATATAGAAAACATCGGGGAAATATTGATAATAAGTGAACTAGAATCACTTCACTTCCTGTTCTTCGTATTATTGCTCATATGTCTTATTTGTGTATTTACAAGTACACTTTGACCTGATAACAAATGTCTCAGCACGTGTGGGTTCAAAATTTTGCATGTCACAAAAGTAGTCTCGCTCCAATCCCTTGTGATCCTTCTTCAAACCAAACTCGAGCAAAATGAACAAACTGAATAAATGGGGAGCGGAGACTTAATACAAGGCTAATGTCATATTGACTTCCATGTTACTACATGTACTTTATATGTCTTTATGTGGGTACCTTAAGGTGGTCCCAATAGCTTTCATTTTAAACATGTATTAATCCAACCTACATTCCATCCTACACATGTTAAACTGTAACACTTGTCATAATGTACTTAGTGGTTTATAAAAATATGTGTCCTTCATCCAATCCATTTAATACATACATTAATACATTCCGATGATATTCAGTACTTAATCTGCCACATATAAGGACATCACTCAAGCAGTCACTTAATATTAAAATGCCAACCCATTTCAACAAAATCCAGCTGTATTAAATCCATCCATCTGTCCTAAATTGGCAAAATGGAATAACGTCCTTTATTCTTAATCTTTTCAATTATAGGCTCAACATAGTTTCTTTTCAACTTTTTCTAATTACATATACAGTCTATTATAATGTAAGATCCTATTTTTCTTGTGTCAGAGTACACATATTCCAGATATTGTAAATGTCAGTGCATTTAATTAATAATTGAACATAATTTCTTTTCAAAGATTTCTTTAAGCAGTATTATTTGCTTTAACATCCTTTTTCCAAATGTTTAATTTTTCAAAATTTGAGTACAGATTTTATTGTAAAATTAAGATGTCAGTTTGATATTGTGTTAATATGACCTATCTTGAATCTATTTTTTATCTTCTTTTTGTGTCCTGAATGTATGAGAGTATGTCCTGTCAAAAAGACCTAGTCCTGAATCTATTCCTGGTTCAAAAGAGTATACAAACAAAACAACTTCACTGCTCATTTGAAACTAAGTTCATTCCTCTTAGGCAACTGATATTTGCTTGAATAACAAATCAATTATAACGGAGTAAACAAAAAATATTTGTCTTTCTTTTTAGCACTTTCTTGTTATAAAAAATGAACAAAAGTTGTACCAATGTCCAAAATATATATTTTGTGTAAACACCTTTAAAACATTCAAAATTGACATACCTTTATAACTGTCTTACTTTGTCCATTTTTTTAATGTCCTTAATAATATTTCCTAATTGCTAATTGTATTCACTAACAATAATACTTCCTTTGCCAAAGGCTCCTGGCTTCCAAATAAGTCTATACAGAGTAACAGTATACTTTTATAAATAAAGTTGGCCACTTTCTAAGGCCAAGCAACTATCATACATTAACCCCAATCTGGTATCCTTAAAAGATATCCACCCCTTCAAGAAAACATATATGGTTGAAATTTGTCAGAAAAAAACCAATGAAAATGTCTTTAATATCAGATGTTACAATTCCTAGACTTGAAATCAATGTTTTATGTTACATAATGTCACTACAGTGATAGTGGTTGATTATGTTAAAGAAAATTGGAAATATTCATTCGTTGTAATTTTCTGTAAGGGCACGTATGAGGGGAAGGTAAGGACAAGGTCTAGTTTGTATATAAATTAACCAGCGCTGAACTAGTTCAACCACAAGTGTCTTAAAATACAATTCAAATATTATGATTAGTAGACCTCGGGACAGGCTTGAGGGTAGGCACAATTATGAAACAATGTTGTATTTCTTAATTAGATCATTAGATGTCACATGATGACGTTAAGAGATAATTAATATATCAGGTCATTACAGTATGGTTTAAACATTGTCTCATCTCATATCAAATCCATTTATGAATGATATGTTATAATTGTACAGTGGTCAATAAGCTATAGAAACTTCTTTGTTCTGAATAATGAGATTTTTCTATGCCATTTGTATAATCGTATTATTTCATTTCATATCAACCTAAATAATTAATACTGAAACCAGATGTTTGACATTTGATGACAAATCTTTCTGAATATTATAAAAGTAGGTATCTATAATGTCATTTTAGCATTATTTTTTTTATATAAGTCTAAAACTGTCATCTTTGATGTGGTTACCATGGTAACCTTAACCTATATGAACAATGAACACTACAACATTTCCCAATATCTGCATAACTGCTCATGTGCCTTTGTTCAAAACTATGAAATGAAATTACAAAAAATGCCAAGAACATATTTTTCAGACTCCTGATCAATCGATAGTAATCATAATGAATACCATATTGTAAAACATCTCTGAATATAGCACACTCTTTTATGCTTTTTATTCCCGCAATCTGGGGTCTAATACTACACACCAATCAGTGAGTAAGCTGCAATGCTAAAAATGGAATATTGATCAACCCCAAGAGATCCTACTGAGGACACAATTCAATACGGATATGTCAACTATATATTATCCCATCCCTTGCATTATAAAATCATAAAAAAATAAATGTAATCATGTAAAAATAATTAGGAAACAGGAGATCTGACCATAAAAAGGACAATTAACAAGGACAATACAATAATAAACTTTATAAACGTACCCTCTATTCTAAATGAAAATCAAGCCCTGATATAGAAATGAAACATTAAGATAATTCATAAGGCCTGATTATTCGTAGTAAGAGACAGGTTGTACTGAAATACCCTTTATTGATTACTGAACCAGATTACATACTGCAATATTTAGTATTGTCTACCTAGATATTCTGACATACACTGATATGTCAGATACAAGAGAGGCAATGACATAACTAAGGTCAGAGAGGCAATGCCATTTCTGAGGCCAAAAACATGAGAAAGGCAATCATGGCATAACTAATTAAGGTCAGAGAGGCAATGCCATTTCTGAGGCCAAAAACATGAGAAAGCCAATGGCATAACTGCATAAGGTCAAAGAGGCAATGACATTTCTGAGGCCAAAAACATGAGAAAGGCAATGGCATAACTTAGGTCAGAGAGGCAATGCCATTTCTGAGGACAAAAACATGAGAAAGGCAAGCCATAACTTAGGTCAGAGAGGCAATGCCATTTCTGAGGACAAAAACATAAGAAGGGCAATACCATAACTTAGGTCAGAGAGGCAATGACATTTCTGAGGACAAAAACATGAAAAGGGCAATATCATAACTTAGGTCAGAGAGGCAATGACATTTCTGAGCTCACAGAGACAATGATCTATAAGGGAGATTGCTAATGAGAGGCTTCTACAAAAAGAGATACGTAATGGTATTAGAGGTTTTAATCTATAGTTGTACATGTTTCTTAAGCAATACTGGGTGGTAAAACAAAAGGTTCCTTTATCAATTTAAGGGAAGTCTGTGAAGCCTTTGAGTTAACTCCTCAATTTATTTCCTAGAAATGTTATAGACGAGACATAAGGGTAGTAAAATATATTTGATGGAGAGGAAAGGCAAACTTGAGGCAAGACCTTAATAAATTATGATTTGGGATTTCAAAATTAGTATATAATATGACAGACTTGAGCACTTGATACCTTGCTATATGTACTTCAATAAAAATAGCATGTTGCAGATCAAACTGTACCATAGCATACTCAAAGATGCTTGCCTGGAATAATTATATAAAGTAGAACAAGCACATCTGACATAATTGACGAGCCTGTCTGACACAAATGCTCCAATTTTATATCCCGAGTAAATTGCTACTTTATTTGAGATTATTGGAACAGGAATTTTTGCTTTTTTGTATTGGGATTTTCGCATATGACTAGCCTTTTCGCTTAGGGTACATGAGGGTTATGTTATTGGAGGTTTTAGATATGGGGTATATCCTGAGGGAAATATACATGTTGATATCTTACCAAGGGCCTGGAGAGTTTGAGGAATATTAGAGCAGAAAATACACAGCAGGAGATATACAATATGTCCCCATTCCCCAAGATATCAATTCTGTATCCTGCTGTCATATACAGTACTGTACCTAAAACTTGACTTGTCGTCTGATAAATCTGAATATGCCAGTTTGTATTTGTGTGGTATGTCATGTATCAATAGTCAAAACTATGATACAGCCCCTCTGAGCATGCACAAAATTCCATTTCTCCAAGGAAAATGTCTATGAAGTGTCATAGTGTTACATTAGCCAAAGGCATCTAAATTCATGGCATAATCCACTAATTAATGTGCACATGTATGCATGCATGGCACTAATTCATTCCAGACTTTACAACCCTTGCATACTAATCATACTCACCCTCCCTCCAATGATACAAATCAATGGACCGGGTCTTCATAATACTTTAATATCAGGCCCGTAGCCAGGATTTGCCAAGGGGGGTTCACTTTTTGAAAAATTCCAGGGGGGGTTCACTTGTGACAATTTTGGCCCAAAAATGGCCAAAATCACTTCAAAAGTGCTCAGAATGGTGATAAACTGCATGGTTTTGAAAGATATTTTGGCCAGGGGGGGGGGGGGGCGGGGGGGCCTGAATATCATACTTTATTGAGCTTATTCAATAATCCCATCTTTTAATTAATGTTCTATTACTACCGTTAGTTTCTGTAGAATGGATATAAATACTGTCCAATTTTCAAGTGATATTTTTAGGTTAAGTCTGTTTACATGAAGGTATTTTTAGATATGGGATACAATCATCATCTTATCTTTAGGACTTACAGTACTCTCAGTAACAAAGCTCACACATCGCCATCCGCCGTACACTCATTCGGGAAGCGGGCGTAGTTCGTGCGCTGAGCGTTCGTTGGTCGCTCGCTATTCGCGCGCGATGCGGTCGTAGATCGCCAGCGCTCAATGCGCTGAGCGTCCGCTTCGCAGTCGTTCACCACCAGCGCAGTTGATGAGCATGTAAGATCCGGCCGTAGAA